TCACAACAGAAAGCAGCAGGAGCAGTCCCTTTCTATTAGGGGCATGAGGATCACTGTTCTCCACAGCAAACATTACACACATACCCCGCTGCATTTCATTTATTATTCACTCCTCTCCTTGTATTTTTTTGTGGGGGGTGGAGCGGGGGGAGAGCCCAAAAGGTCTTGCTGCCACCCTTTGTCATATTTTGAGTTTCTTCAGAAGAATCTTCTCTTTTGGCTAAACTTGCTCTGGAACTTTCCTGCCAAGGAATCTCCTCACTTTCCTTCAGAATACTATGCTGGAGTGGAGGAGGGTAAAAGGGTTGCAACTAGTGTTCAGCAGTCTCGTAATGGAAAATGGACACGTTGGGTTCATTTTGCTATTTTGCTCTGATCAATGCTAAGCAGAATTCAAGTGGGCCCAATTTACCTCTCTCTTTTCCTTCCTTCCCTCCTTCCCCTACCCCACTCTTTATGGAAATCAGGCTGGACCCCAGCCAAGTGAGGGAAGGGACAGTCTCTTCTTCAGAATCTCCCAAAGAAACGCTGATAAGCAACATAAAATCCCATTTGTTCTGAATCTCCTCACTTTCCTTTCTCTGAAAAAGCTCAGAATACTATGGTAGGCCGGAGTGGAGGAGGGTAAAAGGGTTGCAACTAGTGTTCAGCAGTCTCGTAATGGAAAATGGACACGTTGGGTTCATTTTGCTATTTTGCTCTGATCAATGCTAAGCAGAATTCAAGTGGGCCCAATTTACCTCTCTCTTTTCCTTCCTTCCCTCCTTCCCCTACCCCACTCTTTATGGAAATCAGGCTGGACCCCAGCCAAGTGAGGGAAGGGACAGTCTCTTCTTCAGAATCTCCCAAAGAAACGCTGATAAGCGACATAAAATCCCATTTGTTCAGAGAGGTAGTCACAGGGGGCGTAGTTTTCACACTGTTCCTTCCTCAGCTCCATTGGGGATTTGTGCCGTTCATAGTACCTGCAGTGGATAAAGAGAAAGGTGCTATTCATCACTCTCCAAACTCTTCTGCTGCCTGTGAGTGCTTACCCAGCATTCCCTAGAAATGGACTCCCTTATAATGAGCACCTAAAAAGGGCTAGAACTTAGTCCCTTCGATTAATGCCCAGGGGTGGGAGAGAGCTCTTTCAGTCGTGGATGAAGCCCCTTCCCCATCTCCACAAGACTCTAAACCAGGAGTCAGAAACATACGGCACATGTGCCATAAGTGACATGCAAGATGATTTTGAGTGGCACCGGCCGCCTCCCAGGTGGTCCGTGGCTTGAGTGCATACCCCCCACCCACACACAGTGGGGAGCCTGCACTGCAGTTCGAGCTTCATGTTCGCCACGCAGCATGGCATAGGCACCAGGCAAGCAGAGCGGGTGGCATGACCCTGCTCTGGGTTCTGCATTCCTAGAGCTGCCCCTAACCAGGCTGGGCGTGCAGCTTCCTGGAGCTAAGGGGTTAACATCCACTCCTCCCCACACTACAGGCTCTGCCTCCTGTTCCAGGAGGAGGCAGGGCTGGGGCTGCTCCGTAGATCGGGTGGCATGGCCAGTCACACTCTGCTGCCACCTTCATGGGGCACTGGGGCCTCTTCCCCAGCACCCTGCTGTGCCCAGCTGGAGGCTGGAGCCAACTCTGGGCAGCCCCAGGCTCTGAGGGGATGAGCCCTGGGCAAAAGGCTGGGCTGGACAGGGAAGTGACTCTGTACCCCCACAGCCCTCCTGGCCCCAGTGCTGCTCCTGAGGGGGCTGCGAGTCTCAGTGCTGCTGCCCTGCTAGTGTGTGCGCTGGGGGCACAGGGATGTGGGGGCAGAAAGAGGGTAAAGGAGGATGCAGCACACACTTGAGGCCACTGAGAGAGATTAATGAAGCTGCTAAAATGTAAGTAGGACTATTATTGACTTTAAAAAGTATCAGTGGCATACAGATACATACATAGAAGTGAATAAGTGAAATCTCGGCACACCACTTCTGAAAGTTTGCCAATCCCTGCTCTAAACAGTGGTGTCCGAAATGCTAGCCACTAGCCATATGTGACTATGACCAGTTGAGTGTGGCTAGTTGGCTTGAACAATGTGGCTATTTGGCCGGTTGACTGTGGCTAGTTCGCTATAGCAGAAGACCAAGGCACTAGAGGATGGTAATTAAGGTTATAGGCTCAAGCATAATGACACACAAATCTTGTGCTCCCTAAGTACAAAGAAATTGACGATTAATTCTGGGGTTCTCGGCATTTCCAAAAATAGGTAACCGATCTATTGTACAGTGCTTCACAAATTGGACTTATGCTTTAGTTACCTCAGAAGCTTTATGAGCTACGTATTAAAGCCAGGCTTTTAACTCCTGCCCAAGGATGCTCCACTAGAAATGTTTTATCTCTCAGGGCCTCTGTGAGACGTAGCATCATGACCTCTCCCCAGAGGTGCATGAAGCACGTTCTTGTGTCAATCTGTCAGCACAAGTTCTGCGTCCCTATCTCCAGGAGTGTTGTAAAATAAGCCCTTAATGTAGTATTTGAACCTAGCAGACCCAGTCTGGTCTGACCTCATCTCTGCATTACAGCTGAGCTTGGTGCAAGAACTGAAGGCAAAGATTAAACCACCTCACTGCATCCTGTGCTGCAGATTCTTTCAGTCCCTGATACAGATTAGAGCATCCTCAAACTTGCACCCCACTCTCCCTGGCTCCTGTGTCAATAGGCAGCATTAACCAGGAGCTTAGGAACACTGGCCAAGTTCCCTGCTTCCGGAAATACCTCCAGAATGCATCTGACATGCCCCTGTGCTGGGGGCTCCTATAGAAGGTGATGTAAAGTTGACTATGCTCACTCAATACCTAACAGACATTCCTTAGAGGATTTGTATGACTCAGTAAGGAAGAATAGGCCATTTGTCTCCAGGATCTCCTGCATCTTCTTTTTTTCTGTTTCTGTATGTGGGGTGCTATCCCAGACATAAATCAAATTCCTTGCCACATCACACTGCCTTTCTATCTCCCTCTTAAATAATCAGTTCTCTCCTGAGCCCCACTGGTGAGGCAGGGAAGATTTTACCTTTCATAATAGGGGTAGGACCTCTTCTGCCTCTTCATAAAGGCATTGGCAGTTTCTCTTTTTACCTTGATACCTGCCGTGGGAGAATAGAAGAGTGGGTTAGAGCCCCAGGGTTGCCCTCCTATAGTCCAAATACTAGAGTGTCCTCTGGGGATGGAACATCTGCTGTCCCTCATCACAGACCCTTTTCCTCTACTTCCAAGGATGTATATACCCAACCCAGTCTCCACAGTTCTGCCTCCCTAGCTTTCACAGCTGCAGAGACTTGACTCCTCCTTCTCTACTCCATCATGCTTTGTCTCAGGTGCTAAGTTCCTCCTTAGTCATGAACTCCATGAGCATGAGTCCCTTGTCATTTACCCTGTCAATCAGGAGCAAAGCTATCGAAGTCAATGGAGTCACCACAGTATGAGAAGAGACTCAAGCTCCAAATATGCAGGGATACAAACATGCTTTCCAATCCTGATGACCTTAAATCTTGTCACCTTCTATACAGTCTGAGCCAACCTAACATGGACTGTCCCACTGATCACTGCACAGTAAAGCCTTGGTACTAGTGTCCGCAGAGCACCCCAAAGTAACCAAAAGCAATGGGTGTTGTGTCACTGACTGTCGCCTGGTGAGATGCTGGTGACCATGCAGCCAGAATACCGCTGAGGGACTGTAAGAAGCCTGTGCTTAGAGTATCAGTACCGGTGTGTACAGAGTGCTAGGGAAGATTGGGAAATACACCAGTAATCTCTGCACAGAGATCCTGGTGCTCATGGGTAGAGAGTCTAGAGAAAGCAGAGGACTCTGCACTCTTTGCCCTAGCACACTGAGCACTGCATAGAGAGTTTTGGTTACCTGTGTTTGGGGAGTGCTCAGAGAGGGTGGCCAGTTGCTTCCCACAGAGAGCTTTTACCATTCCCAGCTCAGCTCCCTAACCCAGGCTTTCAACTGCCAGCAAAGTATTTTTTTCTGATGCCAAGTTACTTGGCCAGTGAGAAAGCCCAGCTATTTATCTCATGGGCAGGGAAGGGGTTATCTCAGGGGATCAATTGGTAAATGGATCTCAGTCAGATCTGAAATACCACTACAAATAAATCTTTAAGAAGTGCCAGACATTGCAACCTCCCATGTAAAGGTCTCTCTCTCTCTCTCTCTCTCTCTCTCTCTGTTTTCATTGGTTCTCTGGGGAAATTCCAGTTTTAATGAACCCTAGTAGCAATTTATTCTTCAGCCTATGGGAGAAGAGAAAGGACAAGGGAGCCAGGAGATAGCTTTCCTAATGGAGTTCTGTTGTGAGACAGGCTGCAGAGCAGAATGAGGGACATGGAGAACATTCAGATCCTAAACTCAGCTGAACAGAATATGCACAGTCAATACCTAGATCAAACTTACCTTTTTCCTGGCAGTAAAAATTGCAGTGATACAACATAAAGCTCAGCCTAAACTTTTTCTCAACATTTGGCTAGTCTTAGGTTTTCCTTGAAGGAACCTCTTTGTCCCAAACCCTACCTCTCTGTCCCTACACCTCGCTTACATCCTAGTGGACCTAATAAGCCTCTCTTGCCCCTGCAAGTCAGCAGAACTCACTAAGCAGCTCATGCAGGTTTCTAACTCCAACTCTGAGGAACCAACAGAGCAGTGGTTTTCAATCTTTTTTTCCTGCAACCCAGTTGAAGAAAACTGTTGATGCTTGCGACCCAACATAATTATATCTTTTGACTAGAGTGCAGGCTCTAGGGGGACAGAGTGCAAATCTGGGGCGTAGGAGGGGGCTCTGGGTTGGGGGGCTCACGGCTGAACAAGGGGTTTGGTGCTCATGGTTGGGCACAAGCTTACTTCCAGCAGCTCCTGGTCAGCAGTGCAGTGGGGGTGCACTATGGATCACTCTGTGCTCCAGATGCAGCCAACAACAGATCTGGCTCCTAGGTGGAGGCATACAAGCAGCTCTGCATGCTTCTCTTGCCTGCAGGTACAAATCCTCCCCACTAGCTCCCATGGGCTGGGAACTGGCCAATGGGCATGTGGAGCCGGTGCTCAGAGTAGAGACAGCACATGGAGCCCCGTGCCCCCTCCCCCACCTAGGAGCCAGACCAAATACAGCATGGTCCATAGGGCCAGGACAGGCTGCCTGCCTTAACACCCCCCACTAGTCACTGTGTCACCCTACAGCAAAGTGACCCGGTGCCTGACATTGTGCGAACCAGTGCTAGGTCATGACCCATAGTTTGAAAACCTTTGCAACAGAGGAGCCCTGCCATTCTGTGATGCCCATTATAGGTACCCCTCTGTTTGGCTACGTGCTCAGCTAGCTCATAGCCTAAATCCCCTGTGGCTCCCAGGGCAACATGATTGTTGACTGGGCCAGCTGCCTCATATCCTGGTTTGTTTGAGAGCTGAAAAACGCAGCCTGCTCATGTCCGTGCTGTCTGCTTCCTACTGTTTGCAGAGTCTACACTTCTGGGTCATGTGAAAATTGGATCTTTGGTTGTCACAGCTGGTCTGTTGAGAGGAGAGGACTCATGATGACACCTGCTGCAGATCCCAGTGTAGGTGAAGGAAAGAGAAAGAAATTAGAGGATTCCGCAAGCGTCTCACTCATTCCCTAATCCTGATAAAGAGAAAGATGAAGGCAGATGCAGGGCTTGAGACAAGTACAGAGAAAGTCATGGCAAGATGCTCACCTGCTGCATCATGTGATTTCAGGGAGTCCTTTGAATCTGGAAAACAATGAATAGAAGGAATCAGGGAACACCACATAGGAACCAAACATGTGACTTCAGTCTTTGGCCCCATTGAGTGACTGTATCTCCCTTCCTTACTGGGCAACACCATTTCCTTTCCCACATGTGAAAATTTTTTCTCTCTACTCCCATTAGGACCTTGGCTGCACTGGAAGTTTGGGGCAAAATTTACCCACCGTTGCTAACACTAGCTCAGCTCTGTCAATAGTCATCAAGGGATCCATCCTCCTCATTCCTAGGCTGCAGGGCTTGAGCCAAGGCCTGAGTGTACTATGGCTGCAGGAAAACAGTCAGCATAAGCAAGGCAGCAGGTCCACCCCCACCCCTTGCCAAGGACGAGTGACCATTTCAGGCTGCAGTTTGCCCCTGATAAGCGACATAAAATCCCATTTGTTCGGAGAGGTAGTCACAGGGGGCGTAGTGCAATGGGTTACTGAGGCAAGGTGAATTGGGTTCCCTGAGAGGGGAGGACGCTAGAATGCAGGGGCACCGACCTAGGATGCTACCAGCAGACGTGACACCAGCTGAAAGGGGGCACTCCAGGGCTGAAGAGCTAATTCCCAAAGCAACCAGCTGGAGGCAGTGGGGCGGGGGGGGGAGGGGGAGACGTGCTCACCCCCATGACACTCTGACACCCATTCCTAGCTTCTGGAAAACAGTGGCTAGGGACATAAAAACATAAGATCCCACTGTATGCAACAAGGTCACTCTTAATTCTAATCTTTGATGGTCCCTGCAGTCTTCCAAGGGGAATTCCCTCTGATCTTATGGAGGCTCATGGAACCCATACTCATCTAGCCACTCAGACCATGGGGTTCTGCTCTAGTTCTTCGCTTATCACTCCTCCACCCTGGCCAATCCCAGCTGCTGTTGTATTAGAAGTGTATTATGGGATAAAGAAGAAAAGAAATGGCTAGATTGTAAACTCTCTGATGGGAGGATTGTGTTCTTTTGTGTTGTTTTTTTTTCCAATGCATTATGTGCATTTACAGCAGCAGGACACATTTGTGTCCAGACTCTAGACTATCTGTGGAGAAAGGTGCCATTCAGTAGGAGTCAAGGTACCCGAGTTTGACCCTAAGTCACCTAGGATCAGCTTGTGACCCTCAGGTCCATGTTAAATACACCTTAATTGAGTAGTAGCATTGATTTCAATGGGCCTGATTTGCCAAGTAAGGTCTTACTCAACTTGAGCAAAGGCATCAGAATTGCCCATTTCCTTGCAGCTTCTGGGAGCTAATCAGAAGTTTTGCTGTGTCACAGCAAGAGAGAGGGGAAACTGGTAGATGTCTGGTTCACTATCTTCCAAGTGAACTCTGTCCCCAAGCAGCCCCCTGTTCCTGTTCTCAGCCATGCAAACAACCTGCCACCAGAGGCAGGAGGAAGAAGCTAACCTGACAGACTTTATTTTGCCCCATCCCCTTCCCTCTGCCCTGAGAGGATATGGGCTGTTTTCACACCTGCCCCCTGACCCACCATCCCCATCTTTACTGACGGCTGCCCACGCAGCTTCTTCACCGTCATCCTGCTCCATTACACTCCATTCATCTGGCCCGCAGTGCTGCTGCTCCTTTGAAATTCATCTCCTCCTGAGTGCTGACTGCCACAGTGCCCTGAGTCCCCCAGCCCTTAGCTACAAAGAGCCCAGAAGAGCAGCAGCTTCATCACAGAAACCTTCAGCACCTTAGTAATCATGTAATGTAATTACAGCTCCAGTGTTTTTCACCTCAGGATCTCTCGCTGCCCCTGTGAGTTAGGCAAATGCAATAATCCCCATATTGCAGCTGGAAGAACTGAGGCACAGGGAGGTAAATGAGTTCCCTGAGGTAACACGGTGGAGAATAGACACTAGGACATTTGACCCCTTCCCACAGCTTCCTTGTTCTACACATTAGCAGCAGGTGAGGTAGGCAGATCCTACAGAAGGATTGTAGTAAGGGAGGCAGAAAGCAGTGACCAAGGGGATACCTCTTTTACCTCCTCCTCTGAAAACGTTGCAGATGAGAGGCAATGGGGAGTCTTTAACCTAATGCTTTTTAACCTTAGAAAGATTCAGTTCAACTCTGAACTATGGCAAAGGTACTGGCCAACTCCTGTTTTATCCAAATGCCAGGAGACATTGGTGCCTTACGAAATGTCAGAGGACAACATGCTGCCTGCAGCAGAATGGAGCCTTCTGGATATCTCTAGGCTTTTGGAGTCAATCTGCATTTTTCTCTCCACGTGGAAACTGATATAAGATTAGACCAAGGCAACTGGACAAGCTGGAATACAATAGTTGCTTGAGAGCCGGCTGACCAGGAATGAGAGAGAGAAGCTGTCCGAGAGGAAAACAATTAAAGATTAAAAACTAAATTGCAAAATATTAACTAATTTCTAATTTATTCCAAATCTGATGCCAGGGAGAGTGAGGAATTTAACACTGACAAGAATTGCCAAATACAGGACAAGCTTTCTGCTCTTCCTCTCTCAGCATCCCCATCCATTTTACCAAAGCAGAGAAAAGTTGAACACTTGCTATTTCAGATCGTACAGGACAAGCTTTCTGCTCTTCCTCTCTCAGCATCCCCGTCCATTCTGCCAAAGCAGAGAAAAGTTGAACACTAGCTATTTCAGATCTGGGTCTCCTGTCCCTGCCTGCTCCAACTACGTGGCTGTCTCCTGATCACAGCACTCTGGCTATTTCAGCTATTTCCTAGTTTAGAGGGATGACTCTGTACATTTTTTAACACTATCTCTGCCATTTTTTCATTGCACCTGCAAAAACTTGAACTTCCTGGTTCCCACCAGGATGTATCCCCTGCCCCATAGCAGGGTCTCAGCAGAGTCTGAGCTGGGAGCATGTAGGCTGCAGGCAGAGAGGAGGCTGCTGACCTGTGTTCTTTAGAGCAGTGGTTCCCAACCTTTTTTATACTGCGGACTGGCAAACCCAGTCACAAACATTTGGTGGATTGGTAGAATCCTATTTTCATATTTGCATATTCATTGTGCAAATAATTAATATGCAAATACGTAAATACATTATACTGGTCCATCAAAAGTCCTGGACCCCCAGAGCGGCCACAAACAGCCAGCTTCAGCTCCAGCAGTCGCCACGTGGCAGACAGCTGCTGCAGTTCAAGCCAGCTGTTAATGGCAGCTCTGGGAGCCAGGGCTGGGGTGCACCCTGGCCCCAGAGCCCCTCAGTGCCAGCCCCCCAACCCAAAAGCCTTAGAGACCCCCACCACAAGACCCCCAAGCCTCCCTTTTTTGGAGCCCCACTGCACCTCTCCCCCCTCCCCTGAGCCTTCCCCAGTGCCAGCTCCCAGTCCCAAATATTAGCCCCATCTCCAGAGCCCCCCAGTGACAGCCCCCTGCCTCTTAAAGCCCCCACTTCCACAGTCCCCCAGCACTAGCCCCACCCCCTCACCTAGCCCTGTGCTGCCTCCCAGCTGCCAGCTGAGCACTGCTTCCCAGGTCACAGTTGCTCTACGGCTGCCATGCCAAGCTGCTCTTCCGCAGCCAGGAGGAGACCCCGCTCCTGTCCAGCGCTGGTTGGCTGAGAGGTGGGGCAGGACACACCTCTCCCAACAGCCACAGTTGGAGGGGAGGTGCTGGGTGGGGTACTGCAGCCCCAGGCCCCAGAGCCGCTGCAGCCCGGCTACGGACCAGCAGTTAGGAACTGCTGGTTTAGCTAATTTCCCTGAATTCAGACTTGCAGCCAAAGTTCCCTCTAATTGTTTCCATCCATGTGCAGAATAAATTTTGTTATGTGCACCAAGGTATGTGTGTATGTGCATCTCCAGTAGAAACATATGCTGCTGACTATGGGCAGCTGTGGGCACTCTGCCAATCAGCTGGGTAGTATGTGAATCTCTCCTGGGCAGCTGCCCAAGCACTCAGCTTACAGGGAACACTGCAGCCCAGTCCATTTGTCCAAAACTGGGGACCTAACTTTGCTAATTCACCTTAATCCTAAATTGGATTTCTGAAATTGCCAGTCATGCCCAACTGTGCAATAGTGTGTGTCCTGGTGCTGGCAAAGATCTAGCAGGGTTAGGCTAGAGACTCCAGACCCATTCTTCTTTGTGACCTGTCTAACACCTTGCCAGTGCAGTAGCCCAGTGAATACTGCCTGGCCCCAGAGCAGGTCTTCTCCCAGGCATGCAGCCTTCTTGGGTTTCCAGTGTTCAGTAAGACACTCACGCTATATCTACACTGCACGCTTATTTTGAAATAACTCATGTTGTTTCAAAATAACAGAGCGTACATCTTCAAAATAATTTTGAAATAACAGGCTTCTTACTCTGACTTTTGTAACCCTCATTTCAGGAGGAGTAAGGGAAATCGAAGGAAGAGTGTTCTTCCTTCAACTTCCTTCAGTGTAGACAGTGCCAAAAGTCAAGTTAATTAATGCAATTAACGTAGCTGATGTTGCGTAGCTTAACTTGACATTAGCCCGTCAGGGAACACTCGGGTGAGATAAATGCTGTGTCTCCTTACCTCTTTCACAAGAGCAGAAAGCTGCCAGGGCCAGAGTCAGGAGTAGTAGCACCAGAAGTGTCCTCATTGCCTCCTTTTTGTCTAATACTATTCTACAGCTGCAGCGCTTCTCTTGCAGGAGGGTTCTGGAGCTTGTCTCCCAGCTGCAGTTTATATCCTGTGACCAGCAGAAGAGATCAGGACTCTGGCCAAAGTGTCTCAAACTTCAGCATTCCTATGTCCCAGCTCCAACACAAAGCTTCGTCTCTGGGCCAGTAAACATCTGGTCCTGGCAATCATGTGCACATCCATCTCAGCCCACAGGCTCACAACACTTCCAAATGACTCCGTGGAGTGCCAAATGGGAAAATACAGCTTAATTACAAACATCCCGGAGTTCAGTGTTAAGTGAGAAACTGATTTGCCACTGCTTCTAAGAAGGGCAATTGGAGAGAACCATTGTGTCATGAAGTGGTGTGGCCGATGAAGGGGGTTTCATGTGACCCATTTTGCTAATCAAACAATCTTAACACCTTCGACAATATGGGTTTAATCAAATCCTGCTTCAGTTCAGATAGGATGAGCTCCGTCTAGTCTGGCATGCTGAGGTCACCACAGAGGCTGTTTTCTTTCTGTGCTATAAGTGGCTTGCCTGGAAGGAACACACCACATCACTTTTCACCTATTCCTCAGACCCCTTTCAGGAGCTCCTTCCAGACCAAATCATATGGAAGGATCCACTGTGCAGTGCAGGGACGGGGGAGCTGAGCAGAAAAGGCAGACCCGTGAAATATAGGTAGTAATTTGATCTGTTCCAGTCTCAAAGCTAAGCAGCGCTCTTGTTTCAGGCTACGGGTTTGGTGACCTATTAGGGGATTGTTTTCCTCTAAGTCAAGACTGATCTAAACTAATGCTCCAGAAGGAACCTTAGGGCACTTTGCTGCAGGAGGTGGCATCGTACAGGTAAGATATAAAATCAAAGCTAAATTTCTGGGGCCAGATCCTCGGCTGATGTAAACTGGCTCCACCAATACCAAGACAACAAGGCCTATACATACCACCTGAAGATCCCATGCTTTCTGAAAGAGAATAAATGTTAGTTCCAGTGTCTTGGCCAAATTGCAATTTAAGTGGTTACATTCTGTCAATTCCCCTTGTAGTGTCAACTAGAGACAGAGTGTTTCCTGTCCTAAGATGTTGTGCAGTGTTGTGTTAAATTAAATGTCTGCCAAAGAGACAGCTACATGGCAAGGGAATGAGGAAGTGATCTTGCTAGAGCCTGGTTTTCAAAAATGGGCTCTTCACTCTGATGATTTTGGAAGCCCTAGAGCATGCTTATATTATGCTGACAGACCCTGGTCGTCTGCAGGCCAAGTTGAGCCTCAGACCTCTGGAGCTTAGTGCATGAGCCTCTACCACGCGAGCTAAAATCCAGTTGGCTGTGAGCAAGGGTGGTATAGCAGACTCATTATTCTCTCTGTGAGCAGTCTTGGGGTACGTCTAGACTACCGCGTTTTGTCGATGGAAGTTTTGTCGACAGATACTGTCGACAAAACTTCCGTCGACAAAGAGCCTCCAGACACATTGAGTTCTGTCGACAAAGCAAGCTGCTTTGTCGACAGAACTCTGTAGTCTAGACGCAATGTTACAGGCAATAACACCTTCTGTCAACAGAGTTCTGTCGACAGAAGGTGTTATGCCTCGTAAAATGAGGTATACCAGCGTCGACAAAACTGCTGAGTTCTGTCGATGTTATGTCGACAGAACTCAGCGGTAGTGTAGACGCTGGTATAGTTTTGTCGACAAAAGTCCACTTTTGTCGACAAAACTAGGTAGTCTACACACACCCTTGGTGCCACTTGATGGGACAGCTCACCACACCCATGAAGTGTGTGGGTTACATACTTCCCCTAGCTGAGGAAGCACATCCCAAGCTTTAGAGACTTCCCAGTTTAAATTCTGGTTGGCCTCCCACATGTACTACTGAGAGACCCTAGTTGTCTGTGGGCAGAATCAAACCTGGGATCCTCTATCCCATGAGCTAAAAGCCAGCTAACACTGTAGAGCAGACACATTTTTCTCTTTGTAAGTGGTCTCAGGTCCACTTGATAGGACAATGGACCAAACCCAAGAGTTGTGTGGGTTACAATTATACACAGGAAATAAGGAGGATGTAGCAGCACGGGGGCAAGAAGGATCAATGAGTTGAAGATTAGGAAGACAGAACAAGGGATAACTATGTAGGTTTGGCCAGGATGAAGAAAGGAGTAGATACACAGCATTAAAGGATAAAAGGGAAATGGACAAAAAGATGATCCTAGTGAGACCAAGTGCATGAAGTAATGTCTTTTATTGGACCAACAGAATTCAATATCCTGAGTTATCTAATGTCCTGGGACTGATACAGCTTCAACAACACTGTGTATGAAAGATGACCCTGTAAGACAAGACAGTGAGGTAATTAGAACAACTTCCACTAAAAGATATTACCTCACCGACCTTGTCTCTCTGTACTATCCTGGGACCGACACAGCTACAACAACATTGAAAATCACCCTGTAAGAATCAGAAGAGTATTGAAGAAAAAGATATTACCTCACCGACCTTGTCTCTCTGTACCCAGAGCCACAGGGCTACAACACCCAAATTCCCCAAACAAGCCGCCTCCAGATTTCGAAATTAAATCGAAAGAACACGGCTTTTCTTTCGACGGCGGTAAACCTAATTTCACGAGGAAGAACGCCTTTTTTCGAAAGAGCACTTTCGAAAAAAGGCGTTCTTGAATGCAAACAGGGCATTTTCGAAAGAGAGCATCCAGACTGCCTGCATGCTTTCTTTCGAAAAAGCGGCTTGCTTTTTCAAAAGTACTGGTTGCAGTCCAGACACTCTTTTTCGAAAGAGGCTTGCAGTCTAGACGTAGCCCTAGGAAGTCTAGGTGAAATGAAAATGCTCTCAAGAGGTGTCTGGAGCACCAGGTAGAACGGCAGCTGAGTATTAAGGTTGGGCTGAGGCACAGAAAGGCACTAAATGTAAGGGAGGAAAGGAAGGAGAAAGAGAAATGAAGAGAAACAGAAGAAATAAAGACTAAAAACACAAAGGACAGGAGCAGAAGCAATTTCATTGGTGAAGAGGAAGGCAGAAGATAGGAAACACATTACATGGAATTAATTTAAGGATAGTAGTTAAGTAAAATAAAGAGGAGGAGAGAAGATGGAGATCTGCTTATTGGATAAACCCCGTGATTTACTGGGCTTAAATTAAAGTTAAAGTTAAATAAATGGAAATCTAGGCAGTACAGTAAAACAAATAAATAATAACAATTATCCCTAACTTCCTGGAAACACACCAGCAGCCAGCCAGCAGCCATAGAAACTGCCATTTGACAACATCAGGCAGCCCTCGATATCTTCAACATGATACAAGACTTTGTTTTGGGGGAATTTAACATTCATTCTCCTGAACTTTTGGGTGTTGGACCCTCTCCTGGTACAGAACTGAACTGTATATTATCTTGGCTGCCAGGAGATGCAGTCAGGACCAGAGGCAGAAACAAAATAAAACAAAAAATCCAAGCCTGTTTTGAATTCATTTGGGCATAGGCTGGATGGTGACATCAAATCCCAAGCTGCCTGCAGCTACTCTGGAGATGAGAGCACATTAACTAGTTCTTAGAGGCTGACTGTGTAGGTGTTCTCAGTTGTAAATAATGGTGTTTATGGAGACAGAGTCTTGTTTGGTCCTGGCTTCTCCCACCAGTTAATCTTTCCCTGTGCATGAATGGTGGGATTGGCATACTTCTCCATCATTCCTCCAGCTATCGCTCCGTTATCCAAGGGTCCATTATATATCCCTCTATGTGTGTGCACTATATAGCTAGCTCTTTGTGTATGGGTTTGAGAAAGTACATGGTATATATGTGTAGAACATTTATTAAATCTTTTAACTCTGCCAAATGTGAATTTCACTGGACCACGTCTGCAATCTAGGGACCATGTTTCTGCCAAATTTTAAGATTCCAGCAACTCTAGAGCACAGCGATAAAAGGCATAGTGTTTTTCTTAGCAGAAAATGGCTCACTTGATTTGGAAGGAACATTTTGAAAAAAAATTGTGTCCCTTGACTGAGAGCAAACATCAAATTTCAGCTGAAAATAAAAAAGCATTGAAAAAAACATGGAAAAATGCCCTTTAAAATGAAACCCTTAGGCAGCCTTAAGTATAGACCTTGCTATGATTCCTAGCTATAATATCTACGTGTGTATGTGTTTAATAATATATGTTCTTGGAGAACATTATTCAGCCACTAAATTCCTCGGTGCTCTGCATAAATTTCCAGAAAGTGTATGCTTCCCGGTAAATAAAGGAGACATAGTTGAAACTCAAGCTGTGTGAGAGCCTGTTTGTTTGTGTCTTTAGTTTATAATTATTTAGCTTAATAAATGCCTCCATCTTAAGATGAAATGTGATTCCATATACCATGGCAATCTGCATTTAGGGAATGCATGAATGTGTGAGGTGCTCATGTATGGGACATGAGGTATAGATGGCTTCATTGCTCATAATTAATGGGTAAAATATGCAAATGATTCCAAATGAGTACAGCTAAACCCTTTATACCACACCACAGTATGTTTTATTTGCTGCATGCCATATATTGTACATGTAGGGAGAAATCAACAAACATATAACAGAATCTTTTTAGTGCATTGTGACGGCATTAGAATCAGTCCCAGAAGACATGGGTTTCATGGCAGAATTCAAGTGAGGTGCTTATGGGTCAACAAACCCTCAGCAATATGTGCTTCTGCTTTCCGCCCATGGATGTTGTAAGAATGCCTCATGAGTAATTTCATTTGCTCCTGTGCCCAGTTTACAGGTGCTCCTCTCCTGGCCTTGTCATTCCTCAGTAGGATTTGTGATTGGCCTATAAAAAAATAAAAATCCACTTTTATTTTTTTTTTCAGCCTCTGAAACTCTGTTGCACCTTTTGAATGTGGCCCAGTTTCCCTAGGCTACACTGCATAGGTGATTTCAGCTTGCTGAGAAAAGCATAATGGATAGTCTAGGTAGGGTTGCCAGGTGTCCGGTTTTCTACTGGACAGTCTGGTTTTTGGGCCCTTTGTCCAGTAAAAAAATCCAGAAAATACCAGACACGTGCAATGTCCGGTATTTCCTGGATTTCTGACTGAGCACCGGATGGAAGCCTGGCGGGGGCTGGGGGAGTGGCTGGGAGGTGGGG